TTCCCAAGGCACTGAGGGATCTTTTCCCTCCACCAAATTCATTCCCAAGGCACTGAGGGATCTTTTCCCTCCACCAAATTCATTCCCAAGGCACTGAGGGATCTTTTCCCTCCACCAAATTCATTCCCAAGGCACTGAGGGATCTTTTCCCTCCACCAAATTTATTCCTAAAGCATTGAGGGATCTTCTCCCTCCACCAACAGATTGGAAAGTGCCCTTAACAGAGAAAATTCCATGTGTCCTTCCCCAAGCCCAGAGTGCCCCAGCAGAGAAGGTTGAACTGGAGCCAACAAAACACCCAAAAATGCCACCAAGGAAAAGTGAAAGGAAAACCCCTTCCACCAGGCTACAAACAGCTGCAGAGCACAAAAGGCTGTGCCAGCCCAGCCAGAGAGGTGCCCCAGCCCAGCAGAAAGGGCCCATCCATCCCCTGGCAGAGCTGTGGGTCAGGGGGTGGGGGCAGCAGGTGGGGCAGAGGCAGGAGTTTGTGCAGGGCTTTTGTTGAGCCACCAAATGAATTAAGATCCAGTGAGATGAATTAACATCCAGTGAGATGAATTAACCTCCATCACCCTCTCGCTCATCCCTCCCCACGGTGGCTCATCCTTTTCCCACTGTTCTGCTTCCCTTCACCTTCCTGCATGTCCTCCCCTGCCTGCTCCTGGTTTAGTAAGGATGGAGAGGAGATCCTGGCCGGCCCAGGAGAAGGGCTGGGATGTCCTGCCAGGCTGCAGCCACAGGCAGCTGTGCTGCCCTGTGAAAAGACTCCCATTCATCTCTGCGAGAGCAGAGCGTGCGGGGGAGGCAGCAGCAGCAGGGGAGGGGGAAGTGTTGGAGGAGGCTGAGAAAAGGAAGGAGGCCACAGTTAAAAATAGGATAAAAGGACATGAAGGAAAAAAAAATGCAGATTTTTTTTTTTTTAAGAAAAAAAAGCTTCGTTCGGAAAATGTGCTGCAGCTGGAGAAGCCATCGGGCTGAGCACGGTCAGCTTTCACCTTCCCCCGCCCTCCTCCTCCTCCCCGAGCCCCTTCCCCCGAGCGTGGGCCTGGAAGCCGGCCCAGAGAGCGCTCCCAGAAAGCACTTTCCTCCGGGATTCTCCAGCGGGAAAAGAGCAGGGCTCGTGCAGGAGGAGGGGGCCACGTGGGGAAAGGCAGGGAGAGCTCCCCGGGGCTGCAGGAGGTCCTGTGGGACTCCTGGCTGGCTCCAGGCTGGGCTGGGCTGGGCGGGAGCTCACGGGGTCAGCAGGGTGAGGGCACATCCATCCCTGCTGTGATGGGGCAGAGCACCCCAGGATGTGTTCTCCAGCTACAAGGGCTTTGCTTTCCTGCCCAAACCAGCCCAGGCTGCAGGGACTTGATGCCCACGAGGCACCAACTCTGCCTTTTCCTCTACAAAAGATCCCTGGAAGTGTCCCAGGCCAGGTTGGACGGGGCTTGGAGCAACCTGGGCTAGTGGAAGGTGTCCCTGCCCATGGCAAGGGTGGAACAAGATGGGCTTGAAGGTCCTTTCCAACCCAACCCATTCTGGGATTCATTTCTCACTGAAAGTAAGATCACTCCCCCAAATACTCCAGTAGTATCCAAAAGGCTGGGAATACCTTCATTCCAAGAGTGCTAACTCAGCACAGCAGTCGTAGAAGCTTCAGCCAGGGTCCTTCCATCCTCACTGCCATCAACAACAGCTTTAGCTCCCCTCTCACTGAGGAAAACAAACTCGGCCAGGGGGAAGGGATTGTCACAGTGGCCTTGGCTCAGAAAGGCAGCACAGCCAGGGCTGTGTCCATGCTGAAATTATCATGGAAGAACAGAATCCCTGAGTGGTTTGGGTTGGAAGAGACCTTAAAGATCATCTCACTTCAAACCCCCCACCCTGGGCAGGATGCCGCGAAATCAAGTTGCTCAGAGCTCCATAATAATTTGATAATACCATTATCAAATCTTTTTCTTCACTCCAGCTTTATGGCTAACCTTGTATAATCCAAAAAAACACAGCCAGGGAGTAATATTAGGATACTGTTTCCTTATGAATGAAACATAAGTGTGACTCTCAGCATCCTCTCAGCAGTGCTGCCACTTCGGGCAGGCCCGTGGCATTTCTTTGGGCTGGCAGATGGATCAGCTGAGGTGCAGTGGCCTTTCCAGCCCTGATCCCACCTGTGCAAGGAGCAAAGCTCCTGTCCACAAACAGGCAGCAGTTCCCTTCTGGCTGGATTCATTCTGTCACCTCTGGGATGTGCCTTTCTCTGGCTGTGACCCCTGGTTGGTTCTCAGGGCAGTGATGTTCCCAACACGTGCCCCACAGATTGTGGCAGCAAACTAACAAATAAAACCGCCTCTGGTCCATTGCCAAATTTTGGCCTTTCAAACAAAAAAAACTCCACCCCTTCTTGTCTTCATCTACAGCTAAATCCACATCAGGCTTCCCTTTCTCCATATCACTGAATAATCTTATCAGCTTCAAGCACAGTGTAAATAAACTCAGCCAAGCTTCAAAGGCAAAACATCTCTAAACACAAGGCAGCTCTCAAACTTTTAGAAATAGTGTGGTTTCTATTGCAAGGGGATATATTCACACTTGCATTTTCCTTGTTGACTTGTTTCTTTCACCAACATCGAGACCATGAAAACCAAAATAGCCTCTAGTACACCAGAAGAATAGATGACAAATGGTTTTAATGTGCACCCGAGACACAAAGGAGAAATGAAAACTGTTCCTGGCCCTATATACAAATGAGAGTTTCCTCTTGTTTAAAATTAGAAACTGCTCTAGACTGAAGAAACAGCAGCACTAAAAAACAAATCAGAGAAAGAGTACCTTGCATTGCAACGGGCAGAACTGAAAAGTGACCCTCAGGTCTTGCAAGAGAACCAGAAGCCTGTTCTACCTGTGCCAAAGTGCCAAAAGTTTGATCAAAGCCTGTGGAAGACAGTGCCAACTTGAGTTTCTTTCCCTGGCCTCACTGAGGTTTGAACGAGGCTCCAGCCCCTGGAAGAGGACATTTCACAGAGCCAGCGTGGGGTAATGAAGATCTGGGCTGCAGATATGTTGGTCCCTGGAGAGAGCACTTCCACAGAAAAGGGGAGAGGGGAGGGGAAAAAAACCACTAAGAAAACTTTCCAGGCACAGATTTGCAAAATGTTTGAGCAAATCCAAATGCTGCCAGGGCAGATTTCATCAGAGCTGAGCTGACATCATGCTGAGAGAGGTCACCCACAGGAGTTGAGCAAATAGCTGGAATAAGGAGGGCTGGGAATAGGCAGAGGAGCTTTGCTCCAGCCACAGGCACAGCTCTCTGTGTCCACCTCCTGCTCACACACAAGCGCTCACCAAAGGAGAATGTAAAAAAGAACCCAAATGCCTGAACCTTTGCCAAGGAGAGATTTCAGACTGTACATTTGACAACAGTCCCTGGTTCTGCTGAACTCTTTAGCTGCAAAAAGTCTCTGAACATCAGGGTTCTGCCTCCCCAAGGGGCCAATGTGAAGAACTAATGAGCTGGGAACAAGCCACAGGAGAGCAGCACATGCCATGCCAAGGCTTACATGGGATTTAAGTGCTTCAAGGCAGGCTTATGTGGGACTAAAGTGAAACATAAACTTCATATTGGCCCTTTGCAAAGGTCACATTTGTGTAACCTGAGCCCTTTCCCTCAGTTCTGTGCCCGTGCCAGGCTGTACCTGAGCCCTCTGCTCTGCCACAGCACCACAGGGCTCTGGGCTGGGGTCCCATCACCCATCCCAGGGGCAGGAGGAACAACTGCCCACCTGACACAGAATCCTAGGATGGGTTGGGTTGGAAGAGACCTAAATCCCATCTTGTTCCACCCCCTGCTAAGGGCAGGGATACCTTCCACTAGCCCAGATTGCTCCAACCTGGCCTTGGACACTTCCAGGGATCCAGGGGCAGCCACAGCTTCTCTGGGCAACCTGTGCCAGGGGCTCCCCACCCTGTGACTAAAGAATTCCCTTCTAATATCTAATCTAAATCTCTCCCCTTTTAGTTTAAAACTGTTCCCCCTGTCCCACCTGCCTGTGTGATCACATCTGCTGCCAGTTGGTTATGCAGGAATGGTTTAGGTTGGTCTGCTCTGGAATCCCAGAATGGTTTGGGTTGGATGGGACTCTAAAAACCATCTCATTCCACCCCCCTGCCATGGGCAAGGACCCCTTCCACAAAAGCAGCCCAAAGTGCAAGCTCAGCTTGAAGATTCAGGTGCTGAACAACGTGTGGGGCAAGAATTAGTCAGCGGTGACTTTGTAACGGCTTTCGGGCTCTGAATGTGTCAGAGGAGCCCATCCTGCAGCACCACCAGGGCACGGCTTCAGCTGGGCACACACCACAGCCAGCCCGGCCCAGCGTGGCCACACCTGGCCAGCTGTGGGACCTGGAGACTGTGACATCACCTTCCCAAGGAATCAGGGAATCCCAGAAGGGGTTGGGTTGGAAGGGACCCTAAAGCCCATCTTGTCCCATCCCCTGCCATGGCAGGGACACCTTCCACTAGCCCAGGGTGCTCCAAGCCCCATCCAACCTTGGCTTGGACACTTCCAGGGATGGGGCAGCCACAGCTTCTCTGGGCAACCTGTGCCAGTGCAAGGCATGGAGCTACAAGAGACTCAAAACTACAACCACAGTGGGATGAAAACTTGTGAGTCCCCATTTCCTTGCAGCCTTCCATGAACGGCCCTTTCCAAAGCCACTCACCAGGACATCAGTCCTGCAAATGCCATGAGAAATGCTGAAGATGCAACCAGCAGGTTGGCAGGTCCACCCTGCCTGTGGTCTCCTCCTAGAGACCCCCATGGCTGAGAAGACCCCAGCAAGCAGCAACCAGGGCTGCTGTCCCTAAATGCAAGGGGGGTGCACACAGGACTTCAAAATGTCAGAGAAACAGCAGAATCACCACTTTAGGTTTGGTTGTTCACCCAAAGATGCCCCCGAGCCCCCCCAGCCCCCCCAGTGTCCTACCTGTGCCGTAGTGCTCCAGCCCCGTGGGCACCTCCTGCGTGCTGGGCTCGTCCCACAGCGGGCAGCAGGGCCGGGGGGGGCAGCAGGAGGCCTGGAAGCCACAGCTCACCCAGGGATCCTCGCAGGCACCGGCGGCTCCCGCCTTCTGGGAGAGGGAGAGGGAAAGTGTCAGCGGGGCAGGACCCCGAGGGAGCCACCCAGGGAGAGGTGGCAGCGAAGCTTCCCCCAAAACAGAGAGCGAGCTCTGCTCCTACAGGGTGTGCTCCCAAAACCTGTCACTGAGGGGTGACACGGGGAGGCAAAAGGGGCCTTTTTGAACAGATGGGAAGGAAAAGCAAAGGTGCAGAGCGAGGCCCTGCTCAGCAGGCCCCTCAGGAGGGGCTCCAGCAGGACACCCCTCATGGCAAGGCTTTGTTCCAGCCCCCAGACTGGAACGGGGATTTTTTGGCAGCACAAGCAGGAGCCCCAAAAGCCCCCAGAAATGAGGAGGGTGCTGGGGGGGTGCAGAAGCCACAGCCCTGCCCAGGCATTACGGTCCCCATGCTGTGGGGTGAGCTGCCATGGGTCTGTTCCTGTTCCTATTTATGCTGATATTATTTGTGATCATTACGCTTGTATTTATATTTGTATGTGGGTTATTTATATTTGGGTTATTTGTATTTATATTTGGGTTATTTGTATTTGTGTTGGTTTTATTTCTGTGTCCACAGGCATACCTGTGTGTACACATGAAGGTATTCATGTGTGTATGAGATATAAATCTCATATGTGCACATGTGTATTTATATACATAGATACCCATATATTTACATATATGTACATGTATATTTATATAAACTTATGTATTATTGCATGTATATTACATAATATACCACATTATCATATGTATAATATACCATCTATATATATTATCTATATGTACCAAATATATAATACACATCATTATTATATTATTATATAATACACCATATTATTATATTATATCACTTACATATAATACATTATATGTATATATGCACATTATATGTGTGATATAAGTATTTACATACCCACACATATGTAATCCTAGGTTAGAACTCAATATGAATTACACTTTTATTTTTATTGTACATAAAGTTAGATTCAGCCTCTATAAAGAAAATATCTGTACTATATATACAAATTGTTATACATATAAATACAAATTATATATACAAATTATATAGAGAATTGTTTGGGTTGGGAAAAACCTTTAAGATTACCAATTCGGAAACAATCCTGGGATATAATTTTCATTTTGTTCTGTACAGACTTGTTTCATACATATATATTTATAAATACGTGTATCTATAGTGTGTATATATATGTACACACCATAAATATGCAGTATATATATGTGTGTATATACCTTATATATATATTTACCATATACATGTATATACATAATATATATGTTGCATTTAAGTGTTTATCTCTTTGTAAGAGGATAATAACATACAAATACCTATAAATAAATGCAGGATGTTTTAATTTTTTATTATTATTACCATTTCCCCACAAGGGAAATGGCTTTGCTTCATCTCCAATCAATATTTAAAAGCCAAATGCACACTCAGAACCATTTAAAGGGAAGATATGGAGCTGCCTCAGAAAAATCTCATGGCTCAGAGTGGCCTTTTCTTCTTATTTTGGTGAAAATTGTGCTTTTCAGCAACTGTTCTGTGATTTCCCTAAATATGGAGATGATATCTCTAAATATTACTCTGATTTCTCTAAGTGTGGAGGTGATTTGTCAAAATTTGGAGGTGATTTCTCTAAATACGGAGGGGATTTCTCTAAATATGGAGGGGATTTCTCTAAATATGGACCTGATATCTCGAAATATGGGTCTGATTTCTCATAATATGGGTCTGATTTCTCTAAATATTGGTCTGATTTCTCTAAATGTGGGCTTGATTTCTCTAAATATGGGCCTGATATCTCTAAATATGGGTCTGATTTCTCTAATATGAAGGTGATTTTTCTAAATATTGGTCAAATTTCTCTAAATGTGGAGGTGATTTCTCTAAATATAGAGGAGATTTCTCTAAACATGGAGGTGATTTCCCTAAATTTGGAGGTGATTTCTCTATGGGTCTGATTTCTCTATGGGTCTGATTTCTCCAAATGTGGAGGTGATTTCTCTAAATTTAGAGGTGATTTCTCTATGGGTCTGATTTCTCTAAATATGGGCTTGATATCTCTAAATATGGGTGATTTCTCCAAATATTGGTCAGATTTCTTGAAATGTGGAGATGATTTCTCTAAATCTGGGTCTGATTTCTCTAAAAAGGCTCAAGGCACTGCCAAGCCTGGCCCAAGCTGCGGGTCCTTGGCCTGGCCATGCCCAGGATCACACTGCAGACTGTGTTACATACAACCACCCATCACCTGCCCACACAGAACAGAGCTGGCTCGGCAGAGGGAGCACCGAAATTGTCCCAAACCTCCAGAAAAGTGAGGGAATCTTTGCCAAAGCTGTGCTTTGTGCTGCTCCCCCCACGCCCGTCCCTGCAGGTGAAGGTCAGCAGGCCCCGGGACAATGGGCCCTCTAAGAACCCTCCTCCCAACACAAGCGCAGGAAATCCGAGGCAGGATCCCATTTCCAGGGGAGGTTTGCAGGCTCCAGAGGTTCAGATAAGCTCTGGGTAAACACTGGGAATTCAGGAGCTGCTCTGAGCGGCCTAAAACCTTGGAGTACTCGGTGGATGACACCAAACCGTGTCAGTGGGCTGGAGAAAAACCCACTGCTGGGGTAGGAAAATAACCCCACTCCTTTCTTTCGGAGAATCCCAGACTGGTTTGGGTTGGAAGGGACCTTAAAGATCATTTAGTTCCATGGGCAGGGACACATCCCACCAGCCCAGGTTGCTCCAACCTGGCCTTGGACACTTCCAGGGATGGGGCAGCCACAGCTTCTCTGGGCAACCTGTGCCAGGGCCTCCCACCCTTGTAGTAAAGAATTTCTTCTTTATATTTAATCCAGACCCACCCTCCTCCAGCCTCAGGCTCTTCCCCCTTGTCCTGGGTGTTCCTTACCATCACTCCAGGCCGAGCCAAAGGATAAGGGGCTGCACTGCCGATGGTCGTGTCCATGTAGTAACTCATCATCTTGGAGGTGCCTGCAGAAATGGAGATGGATTAGATGACAGGCCACAAAAAGTGAGAGAAGCAGCTAAATCCCTGCTTTCTCACAGTCATAATCCCTGCTTTCTCAGAGCACACCATCACCTTAATGAGTGTGAGCTGGGAAAGTTAAGGGGAAAAATATCTGTATTAAGAGGAGATACTGTGATTAGATGGGTTGTATCAACAATGCAAACACAGATCCATTAGTGTAAACTGGGGAGAGCCTGACAATGGTGAATGAATTATCACCTGGAAGCTGATGGAGCTGCTCTGAGGGAAGATGAGATCATATTTCCTTTGCTGGAGAATCGGTGGGAAATCGTTGCCAATTTTTTTTCTTTTGAGAGAGAAAAAAGAAAAAAAAAGCCACTTTGTTGAGCTCAACACCTTTCCTGTCACAGCTTGGTCACAACCAGCCTGTTTCACAAAGAACTTTGCTGTTTTCAGGAGACATCCTCTGCTTTCCCACGTTAGCTTATGTTTGCCTTGCTAAATCTCTGCCTTGCCTGGCATTCCTCACATGGGATTTACTCCCGTGAGCAAGTCCTACCAGAGCTGCTCTTTAGATGGGATATTTAATCATCCAGGAGCCCATTTGTGTGACTGAGGTGAAGGAGCTGCAGTGTGCCTCTGATATCAGAGCTGTGGATGTTTCTCCCTCTCTCCTTTAAGTGCCCAGTGGAAAGTGCAGGGCCAGGGCCCTTGGTTTGGGTGGATGTGACTCAAAGGTGCTGGAGGAAGGAGCAGAGGGGGAGGAGGCTGGGCAGGATGTGCCTGGGAGCCAAGGGAATGGCTGCTTCCATCTGGGGATAGAGGCACAGCCTGAGGGATGAGGAGCTGCTTTAACCAGAGGGGACAGAGCAGCTCCTCTGAAACCCCTCCGGGGTCCTGCAGAGCCCTGAGCTGCCAAATGCAACCACTGCAGATGCAAACACGTGTCTGAGTCGTCTCAGAATAAAATCACAGAGTCATGAGGGTTGGAAAAGTCCTCTGGGATCACCAATCCAACCATTCCCCAGCACTGCCAGGTCCACCCCTGCACCACATCCCCACATACCACATACACACAGTTCTCAAGAATGCCAGGGAAGGTGACTCCACCACTGTCTTGGGGAGGCTGTGCCAGTGCTGGATAACCCTTTAGGTGAAGAAATTTTCCCTAATATCCAACCTAAACCTCGCTGGTGCAACTTGAGGCCATTCCCTCTCCTCCTGTCCCTTGTTCCCTGGGAGCAGAGCCTGACAACCCCCCCCCCGGCTCCCCCCTCCTGGCAGGGCGTTGCAGAGCCAGAAGGTGCCCCCTGAGCCTCCTTTTCTCCAGGCTGAGCCCCCCCAGCTCCCTCAGCCTCTCATCAGACTTGTGCTTCACAAGGTTTGTGCTTGGTTCTTCTCCACAGAACCAGCACAGCCACGTTACCTTCAGCTCCACCCCTACCCCGGCCCCTTGAACAGCTCCTGGAGGACTGGGATCTGCTCCCAGCCTTCCCTCTGCTCCCAGGGCTGGCCAGCAGTTCTCCAGCCCCCAGGGCAGGGCAGAGCTGTTGTGGCCGTGCCTCACTCACCACCTCAGCAAACAGGGACCCCGACATTGTTTCCCCCTGCTCGGTGAGTAATGGCCAAACACGGAACACCTGCGTGTGCAGGGTATTAAATGATCATCATCATTTCCTGCCTGTTATTACTGACTCTTGTTCTCACACCGGCATGGTTGTTTTTGAAAAACTTTTCTTTTTTTAATTCACAAAACTGAAAACTACCGAGGTGGTGGAAGAACAACGAGCCCATTTCTCTTTGTGCTGTACCCAAAACCACACCGAGTGTGAGTTACCCTGGCTGAGGAGCCTTAACTAATCTCAGCATCTGTGCACGCCCTCCCAGCCCTAACGAGGCGTTAAAACACGTTTGCTTCAGTCTCTTTGCAGCTGAGGCTGCAGCTGGGGAGACACAGACAGCGCTGGAGCCCCTTTCTGAGTAATCACAGAGTCCCAGAACGGTTTGGGTTGGAAAGGACCTTGAAGACCACCTCGTTTCACCTCCTGCCATGGGCAGGGACACCTTTCACTAACCAGGTTGTTCCAAGTCCCGTCCAACCTGGCCTTGGACATTCCCAGGGATGAAGTATCCCTGGAATGAAGGGCATCCCCTAAGGGAAGGTCAAGGCTCTCAGTCCCACATTCGGGTCCCCTGATCCTCACCCTCAGCACATATAAACCATCTCAGGTAAACGTGAACTGACCTTGCCCTAAAGCCAAGATTAGTGCTGCCAAACTGCACAGAACACGACAGACACTGTGAAATGGAGGCAGAGAAACCCTGGGGCTGGTTCACCTGTTTCAGAGCCACACACGTGTCGGAGAGTGAGGAGTTACAGCCCTCAAAGAGCAGTTCAGCAGCAGCTCCTGGGAGCAGCTTCTGTTGCTCTCTGCAGCCTGTGCAATAGGCAGTTGGGGTTTGCTCTGGGGTTTTTTTGCCTTTGATGAAGACACCTGAGTCCCACGGTTCTCGAGAGCTGCTTTCATGCCTCGCTGAGCGTCGTTTGCATCTCTCAGGCTGCTCTTGCCAGCTGAACCTTCCAGCAAGGGGCCACACGCTGCTGCTCGAAGCCACATGTGCTGCAGTGACAGCAGAGGCACCAAACCCGTCCTGACACCCAGGACAAGGCTTTGTGCACTCAGGAATATCAATAAGATTTAACCAGAGCACCAGTAACCCCCTCCCGAGCTTGGGAAAGGCGAATTATCGTCTCTAGGCAGCAGCTCTGAGAGATTCACAGCCAGTTTGTTCTTTGGTTTCCCTTCCCCTCCAAGCTGTGCTGTTAAAAATCACTGGTGGGGGGCAGAAACACGACACAAACCTCAGCAACTGTTTGCACTCCCACCCCTGGGGGTTGAAGACAAGCCCAGCCTAAATGCAGGTTAGGTCAGTCCCCAACCTGATGCAGGTTTTGTGGATGACAGTGGTCAAAGGACAGAGAGACACAGGCTCTAGTCTGTGAAAAGGACCTGGAATCATGGAATGGTTTGGGTTGGAAGGGGTCTTAAAGATCATGTCTTTACAACCCACCTCCATGGGCAGAGATGCCACCCACTAAATGACAAGCCCTGGTAGAAAAGGATCCTGTGCACGGAATAACTGTGCTCTGGAAAAGCGGGTATGGAAGAGGAGGCCGGAGGGAGCTCTGCTGTGCTGTGTCCAGGCTAATTTTAACAGAACTTCCACCACTTCCCAGAGGAAACTACTTCACAGCCCAATATGTCTCTCACTGTCAGCAAGTTTCCCTGATGTTTGAGAGATATTTTGCTTCTCTTTGACTTCCTCTAATAAGAGCCTAAATAGTTCCTCCCCTCCCCTGGATGCTGTCAGACAGCTCTGATGAGGGCCCTGAGCCGAGCTGAGCTCAGGACAGAGCCCATCAGGGCAGGTAACTTGGCTGAGATGGAGGAAATCACTGCAGATTTACCCCCAGATAATCCTGATCCAGAGCTTGCAGAGAGCTCGTAATTAATAGAGAGGAATCAGACCCATTTGGTAAAATCCTTAATGACTTAATAGCTTGACTTCAGCCTTATTGTTTGCCCTTATTATTTGTGTCTTATTGTGAAAACACGTGTGGGAGAAACAGCATTTATTTTGGGAGTTGATCAAGTACCAGCCAAAGCTACGAGACTCTTGGGTCATTTCTAAACTGAATTAAAATTTTAATTTCATTTCAACATCCATCCCTCCTCTTTTACAAGGTTTTTTTATCATTATTATTTTAAATCAATTACCAAGCTTAGTTTAAAAGGGAAACGCTGTTTGTCCTCATGATTAACACACACACACACCATTTCAGAAGTTGGGAAGGAGTTTAAAATATATACTAGAACAAAACAAACTTCACCTGTTTGATATATGAAGACACTTCACAATATTTTCATATAATGTTTTAGTTTTATACTGTTTTAAGGATGGGGAGAGGGAAGTGGAGTGAGGCCACAGTGGCTTCCCAGTGGCAGAATCAACAGATTCCCATCTCTGTTTCCCAGTTGAATGTTGTAAAATGCAGAGGCTCAGACTGTTCCTCGGTTTCTGAGCTGTAGGACCACGCTGAGCTTCTGCCCACCCCACACCCCGAGCCCCAGCTGGGCACCCAGTGAGGGTGTCCCTGCAGGGTGGCACAGCTGGCACAGCTTTTCCTCCATCCCAACAAACCAGGAAGATTCCTTTTCCACGGGGTCGCTCCAGGAGGATGGGGCAGCACCAGCAACCCCACCAAAGTGTTTCTGGCTTCAAGAGCCTGAATGAAGAGTTTAAAAAGGCAAAGCAGCCCCTTCCCCGTGGGCTGGCAGCTCCTGCCCCAGAGCTGCTCCCTGATAACCGCTTGATTTGTGCATCAAGGAATAATTCCTCATCTTTGAGGGGGTGGGGAGAAGAGCTGGTGGAAATGACATCCTTCCACAGGTCTTTAACCCCTGGCATCCTGGCACTTTCCAGGCCTCCTGCCAGCTCAGTTCTCAGGGGAGGGAGTCTTTGTTGATCCGTTGGCATGTTAAAACCCCCTTCAATTCATCAAACCCTGACACCAGCTTAAAATAAAAAGAGCATCCCTAAGGCAGGAGCATGAGCAGCAGAAATGAGTGTGCTTCCTTTATGCACAATCCATGCTTTTTAACTGCTGGAAATCCCACAGTTCTTAGGATTTCAAAACTTTGTAGTGTTCCTGCAGATAACAGCTGATTTAGTGAAGGGAAAGCAGGCAGGGCAGTAAATGCTGCTGTGGTAAAGAGATAGGAATGGTAAATAGAATAAAAATGGTAAATAGAGCAACAGTTTACCACTTTAAATAGAGTGACAGTGGTAAATAGAGTAGCAAAGGTAAATAGAATAGGAATGATAAAGAGAGTAACAATGGTAAATAGAGTAGCAGTTGTAAATAGAGTAAAAATTGTAAATAGAGAGGTAATTGCCCTTCTGCACCCGCTGTAAATACTCCCAGAGGTTAAACGACCTGGCCGAGGTCACCCGGGGAAAGTGAGGGGGAGAGGATCTGAGCACTATCTTAACTGCGGGGCGGGGACTGCCCTGGGATTAGCGTGTCCGGAGGAGTTTTTTGGGAAGGATGGGGCAGGGGCCGCCTGTCAGCACATCCCGTCTGCTTCAGCTGGGCTCTTTCTTCCCTCGGTGCCTGTCAGATCTGAAGGAGATATGATGGGACCTCAAGAGCCTTCCCATTTGGCTGGATAAACTCTGGCCGGGCTGGGTGACAGTGGTCGTGAGACAGTGCCAGGATGGTTCCCTTACACGTGTGCCTTTGCTCTCTGTGCTTGTAGCAAACTGCTTTTTCTTTAGCTTTCTCCTTTCCCCTGTTCATTCATCAATTACTCAGCTGCTAATTTATAATTAAGCTGGAGTAACCCCCCGTGAGCAGCCCAGCAGATGTATGGTGAGCTGACAGCCGGGTCACGGCAGGCAGAGGGGTTTAGGAGGGATGCTAAACCAGAGGGGCTGCTGCCATTAAATCATGCTGCTGCTGCAGCAGCTCCTGCAACTGCAGGGAGATGTGAAGGGCAGGTTAATTAGGTCATCTGTTCCTTCACTCCTGAATTTGCCCCTGTGAAGCAGCAGCCTCACAGCACAATGTCGTGGGCCAGGGCCTCGGCCAGGAAAAATCCCAGGGGAGGGAATGGGATCAGGGGAATGGGATCTGTTCCCAGCCAGCAGGGAGGGATCCCCTGCCCCAGGGAAGGCTCTGACACCACAGGGAGCACAGTCCCCAGATCCCAGAGCCCAGGCTGCCCCTGGCACAGGGACTGCCACCTCAGCTGGGAGGCTGTGCTGTGCTCCAGGATCCCTGCAGGACCCCCAGCAGGACAACTGGGACCAGCCTGCCCAGGTATGGTGGTGCTTTGAGAGCTTCCCTCTTCCCCAGGCACCCAAACTGTTGTGGAAAGGGAGGGTACCCTTCATTTCTCTGGGCCAGATGTATAAAGAGGGAAACATTTTTCTGCCTTGGAGGAGCATGTGGTACCCCAAAACTCTGCAGCGAAGCCAAGGACAAGGGACACACACACAGACCAGTGCTGGGGGCAGAAATGCACCTACACACCCCCCAGCCTCTGGGTGAGTGGGTTCATCCCCAAAAGTGACTGGGAAGACCAAAAAAATCAGTTTTTTCAGGAAATTATGTACATGACAGGCAGGGGAAAGCTTGAAAACCGACAGAATGAGAGGCAGCATGAGCAGGCTGTGCAGGAAACCACTCTGGAGCCAGCCCACAGCCCCCAAAGGTGTCAGTTGACAGCCCAGGATGGGAAGTTGATGGTGGCTGTAGTACCCCGTGAGTGGCCACATGCAAAGCAATGATTTCGAGACTAATGGGAAGGGGGAAGGCCTGGGCTGGGCTCCTCAGGGACTCCCCATTCCCTCTGCCTGGGCTGGCAGGGCAGGCTCTGCCCTTCCCAGGGAATGGCAGTGGCACAGCAGCACATCCCCGGGGCTGCCACACTGCACATCCTCCCACCAGCCAGGGCTGGCACCTGTGGCACCGTGTGCCCTTGGGGGGATGGCATTGCTGGGGAAAACACACCCAGGTGTCACAGCAAACCCCTTCCAAGATCCCTCCAAGGCAGGAATCTGCTCCTGTCTGAGGGGCTGCTCCATGTGAGGAGTGAACATCCGACCCCAAGCACTTGGATTCTCCCCTCACAGCAAATACAAACCAACCCCCTTTCAAACCCAAATTACAACTCAAAACATAAAAGGAACTACAAATTTAATCCACTGCAGAAATGCCAAGGCACAACCTTCTGCCTAGACAAGGAAAAAAATAATATTCCCCTAAATATCCATATCAAATTTATATACCTGATATTAAAAAAAAAAAAGGATTTTTGAAGGGAAGCATCAGTTCAGACATTTCTGTAAGACCTTGCAGTAGCAAACACACAAATCAGTTACTGGGTGAGACTGGAAATGGGGAGAGGAAAAGTAAATCACCAACAAAACAAATCTGAGATACCCTGAAAATTTCCTGGTACCTCCAACCCACAAAAGAGTTTAAAGAGCTTCTCTTCCCCCTCCACTTACGACTCAGCTGGAAAACCCAGGGAAAAGCTTAAGTCCTCCACGGCTTCCCACACTTGTCTCCGCTCTCTTCCCAACTACCTGGTGTATCCTGCGCGCCGGAGAGGATGGAAATCCCATCGTGTGTGCGGCAGGGCTGCCTATTCAAAGGGAGGGGGAGTGGTCAGCCCCGCACCCAGGGCTGCGAAAGGCGATTCCAGCCGCCAGCCAGGAAAAAACCACCTCTGGCAGCTGTCACGGCGCTGGGGAGCAAACCCGACGTGAGCTGGAGGCGCTGCTGGGGCAGCGAGGGGCGGCCTCGGGGTCCCGTGTCCTGCTCAGGGGTCCGAGGGGTTCAGCCCGCCGGGAAGTTCTGCTCCAGCCCCTCGGATCCCGGCGAGTGGAGTTTGTTCTCGCCCAGGAGCTGGACTAAAGGCTGGCAGAGCACGGCCGGGCTGAGGTTTATCCAGCCCCGATCCCCCGATCCCAGCCCAGCTCCTGCCCCTGCCTGCAGGAGCTGCTGTTCCTACCTGGAGGTCCCCTGGGCCTCTGCCTGCCCTGCTCCCCTGGATATTTGGATTATCTGGGCTTTCTGCCCCTTGGCACGTGCCTCTGGAGCCAGGAATGCCAAAGGAATGCCACGGGAGCTGCTGCTGGCTTCTGAAGTCATAAGGGCTGAAGGAACCCCCCCTTACAGGAGGTACCAGAGAGGGGAGATGCTGGATCAGCTCCCTCCTCTGACAGAGGTGGATGGTCCCAACCTGCATCACCCCAAAACTGCTCTTCAGGAGGGTGATCGGGGTGTCCAGGGGCTCTTCAGAGAGGAGAAGGCTGTTGGGACCACAGGGGCAGGACAATACAGGGGGGCACAAGCACAGGTTGCACTGCAATAACTCCAGTAACGTCCGTGTGAATTATCCAGAGGCTCTGGGAGAGCGGGATCCGGGGCTGCCTCACCAGACACCCCTGTCTTCCCCTTCTCAGCCTGCCCGACCCTGCCAGCCTGGCCAGAGACCTCCCAAACGCCAGTGGTGCCCCCAGATCCAGGCTGCAGGAGGACGTGCCCATCCTGCCTCTCCTGCTCTCCCTCTCGGGGCAGCAAAGCTCCCTTTTCCTCCAGGAGAGGGCTCCAGGCTGGGAATCCTGTCCAGCTCCAGCACAGATCCCCATCAGGCTGTAAAATAGCTGTGGCTGAGTCCTGGCCAGGGGCAAAGCCCAAACTCCAAGGGTTCCATGGGGGCTGTTCCAGGACAGGCAAAATGGGAGGCTGGGAAGAGCTGCTGGGATTTTCCCTAGAGATCCCACTAGAAAATGTAATATAAGAGTAAAACCAAGACCCCAGCCATGGGGCTCAGCCCTCACTGCCTCCAGGCACTGACACAATAACGTTCTTCTTGTAGGGTATTTGCACCTTTCCAGGGAATTTGGCAGCATCCTCCTATTCAAAAAATGCAGCCTGTCCCTCTGAGCTCTGCCACTGCAAATCCAGGCTGAAGGATTGGCCTGGGGGGGAAAATAACTCCTGGGGACACCCTTTCCCAGCCCAAACGTGGGTATTTTAGGTCATATCAGCCAAGTGGGCATTTGCAAAATGCAAACCTAAGCTGGATTTGCTCTCAGGTGGATAATTCCTGCCTGCATGAGGCTTTTGTGGCAGCACCAACAACCAAATCAAATGTGCAAAATGAGTGTCCACAGGCACAAGGTCCCTCCTGCTCCCCCCACCCCAGTCCAGGAGGTTGCTGGAGTGCACAAAGGGACAAATAGCAAGAACCCCCCCAATATTTATGCACATAAAACTCTTCTCAGGCCCTTCCAGACTTTCTCAAGCTCCCAAATGATGAATGAATCTCAACTTTAGCCCTGAACTCACACACACAGCTCCAGGTGGCCCGAACACACGTTACCTGTTGAACTTGCAGCCCAAGGCACGGATCCCTCTTGTAGTTCTTTTAACACAGGAAATCATTTACAGGGTTCCCGTCTTCCCAGAAAGGTTTCCAGCCTCCTGGGCTTTGCTACAAAGGCTCTGTCACATCTGAGCTCCAAAGGAGTGGAATTCATCCAGCAATCAATTTTCATCTGGGCAACTCTTCCCGGAATAACCCCCTGGCAGCTGCAAACAAGATGTCCTTCCCTGGGCTGGAGGTTTCTCTCTGCACAGTTGTTTGGATGCAATAATCCATATATTAATAGCTCTGTGCATGGCTGTCCAATCCACTGGGTGTCTGGGAAATGGAGAGGCTTCTGCTTTCGGGTGTTTTTTCCATCAGCACAGTGGCTGCTGCAGGAAAATCACCTCTCTCAGCTTCTGGAATCACAGAATCGTGGAATGATTTGGGTGGGAAGGGTCCTTGAAGATCATCTTATCCCATGGTCTCCTGGTTTCAGGGTCGCTGTTGTCACACCAGTCACCTGAACCAGTTGTTTCAGCTCATAAGGAAAAGCTGGGTTAAATTTCGGGCAGCTTGTGGAATTCATCCCAAAGTCCTTGTACTTTCCATTGCAGCTGGTTTGGGTTTGCTTTGTGCTCATAAAAAAATGAAACGACTCCTCAATGTTTCCCTGGAGTGGTTATTAATGTTTTCACTGAATTGGAGGTGCCCTGGGGAGGTTTCACAGGTTGTGCACCATCAGGCTGCTGAAATCTGGGGGCTCACAGGCTCCTCCTGGGCAGTGCAGGACAAATAACCTGAGAAATCCTTTCCCAATAACCTGAGAAATCCCTGTCTCCATTTGGGATGGAATCCGAGAGCAACATCATGCTGGGGGTGGCTGCAACTCGAGATGGTCCTGGTTTGCATCCTGGAGCTGGGAGTGAGCACAGATCACCTGGACAGAACTCAGCACAGCTCTGAGTGTCCCCAACTGTCCCCAACCCCGGGTCACCCTCTTGCAGCCCTGGGAATGTTTTCCAGGGAGAGATCCTTGGGGTCCTGCTTGAGGATCAGAAGCCACTGAGGGTGAGAAGCTGCATGTAATAAGCTTCCAGAGGCCTTTATGGGTCTCTGAGTATCATCATTTCCATATTACACTGCAAAAACAGAGCAGGAACCAATAAAAGGATCCTGAGGACCTGGATCTCTCTGCTTTCTGCAGTTCCATGGTGACCCCAGTGCAAGGGAGTCAAAAGGCATTCCTGGTTTGGAGGGTGACCTTCCCAGCCCTGGGAGAAGGGGATCAGCTGGATCGAGGAGCTGCCTGTGCCTGTGAATCTGCAGCAGGTTTGCCCAGGCTGCCACAGCGTCCCCTCCTGCCCCTCCTCCAGATCCAGGCTGACACACAGATGGCTCAGCAGGGCTCCCCCAGCAGCTCTGCACGTCTGGGCTCCAGGCACTGAGGCTCTGCAGAGCTGCCTGCTCTCCACAGCCAACTGGGACCCTCACACAGAAAATCAGGATAATACTGGGTTTTTGCTGAGGGTGTCCCTCACGCTCCTGGCTGGGTGGTGGAACCCAGGAGGGCCCAGATTCCAGCCCTGAGGTCATTGCACAAACCACTGACCCCTCGCTGTCCTGGGCTGTGTGTCTGTCAGCTGAGGGAGAACAAAAAGGTCACTTTGATACTGGACAAAGGCCTGGAGATACAGAGAGCTTCCCAGGTTTATCAGCTCCCCATGGAAGCCAAATGCAGGGAAATCTCTGAATTCTTACGTCACCCAAGTCCTTTCTCCTGCTCACCCCCAGCGTTTGTGACTCTGAAGAGACTGAGCCATGGAAGGAGGAGCCCAGGGACCCCAAAGGATGTTGGAGTCAGGCCCTGAGCCCTGGAATGGTGGCTGTGGGAAGCCAACTGCTCCCTTCGCTGCCCTGGGATCACACCCAGGGCCCAGGATTTGTGGGTGTAGCCTGTGCTGCAGGGGTGTCCTTCCCTGGGGGGAACAGACTCCTGAGGGCTCCAAAGCCACCCTGAGAGGAGCCAAATGGAAAACCTGGGCTCCACCTCCAACCCCACTGACTCCTGGAATCCCAGGAGCATTTGGGTTGGAAAAGCCCTCTAAGGTCGAGTCCAGCCCTTCCCTCAGCACTGCCAAGGCCATCACTAACCATGTCCCCAAGTGCCACATCCACACTGCCTGAACCCCCCAGGGATGGACATTCCACCCTCAGGGGCAGAGCAGGAGCTTTTTCACCTCTCCACACTTCCCAATGTTTCTGGAGTCCCTGCTGGCCAGGAGGGAGCATCTCCAAGCCCAGCACACTGCAGCCACCACACTGTGCCCTGCAGGCAGGGCCACCCCCCAGCCACCAAAGAGCCCTGGGGACACCAAGATTTTGACTGGTGTCCTCAGAGAACCACCAGTAACTACAGCTCCCCCCATTATCATCCCAGTTTAACCATAATAAGCTGCTTATTATTTCCAGGATGGGTTTTATATGACATTTTCACTGCCATGCTCATCTTATTTTTCGAACAAGAAGATGCAAAGGGAAGCAGTTCAATGATCTCAATTCATCCTCTGCGTTTTTCCAAGGGTTTGAGAAGCAGTTGACTTTTTTAAAATGTCAAGATTTTTATCAAGGCTTTGAATTTCACTACAGCAAGAGGCAGGGGATATTAGAAGAGATAAAAGAAAATAAAAATATCTCTCTCTTTTTTTTTTTTTTTAACCCCTGATACTAATAGTGAGTTAAGTAATAAAGAGCAAGTGATTAACTGGCTGCTGAATTCACTTTGAAATCTGGCCAGATGGGTTTGAGCAGGAATTGTTAACTGATAGCATTTTTATAAATCTGATCTTTATTTATACATCTTGCCTGGGAAAAGAGCACTTCTGAAATCTGGCTTTATAGCCTTAGATTAACTGATTTTGGAGGAGGATTTTAATTTACAGTTTGAAGAGGGTGTATATGTGATGAAATCCTATCTGAGTGTATCAGACAGGATAATAAAAGATCCTTCTCCCAACACCCAGGCCAAATTTTTCTTGAAATGCGAGAACTGGTAAATGATGACTGATTTTCCAGTTGATATTTTCATAAATGATAACTGATTTCCCTTGTTCTTGTAGCTGCCAGGGGTTCCTGGGCATCCTTCCCCTGTGGTGTTAATGGGGTGAGTGGGGCACAGAAGGGTTTGCACTGACAATATTCACTTTGGTCTTTAGGAAAGGGATCAGTTTTTGTG